CTTAGTCGGTGTAAGCCTGACAAACAACTGAGCTTTTTCGAAGGTTCCGGGGATTCTAACAGGACAGCACCGACATACTCGATATGCACTACAACAATTTATCCTTTGTCCCCTTCATACGTGATTGGAACCCAAAAAACTGTATCGATTTAGCAATTATAAATGATCGTCAAGCCGAAGTGCAGCATTTTACAACACCAGAAGAATTGCAAATCAAAGCGTACTTGAACTATTTTCACTGGGGGCTTCCAATCGCACCTTATCTACTGAATTGTGATGAACCACAAGCACAACAGAATTGACTCAGTTTTCTCGATATTCTGAACGATTGCAACCCCATAGCAAAAACTTTTCCGGAACAGGTTCTCGTGTATTTCCCACATTCAAAATGCCCATTGGTACTGCAGCTCTCGTTCATACATATTTGGGGAAAAGACATGTATGACCTTGGGTGTAAGGAGAAGAAATATCAATAACTTAACCTTTGAATCAATGGGAAGTGAGCCTTCGCGCACAAATGGAAATTTTAAATTTTATAAAAAAATATTTTCAAAAGTAGAGAAGACATCTCACCTAATACACAAACATGATTAGCTTAAATAGGACGAGAGAGTTGGAATAGTTCAGTTCAGTTTAGTTTGAACAACCGTTTGATTGCTGTTTTTTGGCTGCCCATTTGGATGAACAGTAGAAGAAACTTAGGAAAGTTGAACTTGGAATCGAGTAGAAAATGGAGAATTTCAGTGAACTAATGTTGCAACGAAATTGAGAAGATGCACTCAACCACATGACTCAGTGTCTCTAACCACCGGTTACCATCATCCCGAGATTCCCAGCCAACACACCATCTAACTGTGCATACACACCTTATCAAGCATTCTGGCCTGATAAGTAGTGGCAACAAGAACGCCACTGCTGTTCGTTGTTGTGTTGTTCATTGTCTGCACCCAACCAGAAGACCAGAGATATCTACTCTATCTAACCTGCCTAGGCTCTTCATACCTCGTCTGCACATCATCTTTACCTCCGTGTGGCCTTCTACAGCTCAAAACTGTAACTGTAAATAAGGCGCACTGCAGTGGACGACAACTTGCTATAAGCAAAATGTGTCCTAAACAGCGAAACCCACTTTTCTTCATTTTATTTGCTGGTATTTTTCCCCGATAAACTCCCGAGCACGTGATAACTTACCTCTCGGCTACTAACCGATCGTCCCACCTGCGCCAAACTACGAAGGCATCCATTTTCGAAATCTCTTAGTTAAATTCAAGGTC